GTCTGCGCTCTCCTCCTTTTCTCACTCTCTCGCCTCCGAAACTTCGAGGGCCTGTATCTTAAGTTCTAGAATAGCTAGAAAATCGCTTTCTAGACAGAAATGTTCAGTTTCTCATAAAACATTTAGTTTCCTGTTTTTTTTTTGTGATTTTAGACCTTGCAGTTCAACTTTTGAGTAAGATATTTTCTCATATTTTTATGAAAGTTATATTTTCTGATTCTCCAAAATTTTTCCTTCATTTCGGTACAGGAATCAACTTCATAGCTCATCTGGGAGCCAAGATACAGGCGTTTCAAGTTTCACAAGGCGAGAGAGCGCAGGGAAAGTATAGAGCGCAGACAGTCTCGTCGTCTGCGCTCTCCCCAGTTTCCCCACTCTCTCTCCTCCAAAACTTCAAAGGGCCATATCTCGAGTTCTAAAGGAGCTAGGAAGTTGGTTTTTGAACGGAAATGTTTCGTTTTTCATGAAATTTTAGCTAGAAACTTGGTTTACAAACCAAAATATTTTGTTTTTCAGTCAAATTTGATTTTCTGCATTTTCGAATGTGATTCTGCGCATTTTACACTTAAAATTTCAGTAATATTTTTTTCTCAAGTTTTAAAGAAACTTATATTTTCTGATTTGCCAAATTTTTTCACAATTTTAGTTCAAGAATCATCTCTCTAGCTTGTCTGGGAGCCGAGATACAAGCGTTTTTTCAATGTTTGGAGAGACGCAGATAGTTTGAGCATATCGGTGTCTGCACTCTACCCTACCACGTGCTATTTTGCAGGCTTGCCTTAATTTTTCCAAAAGTTTGGTTCAGGAATCATCTCGCAAGCTTATCTGGGAGCAGAGATACATGCGTTTTCAGTTTGTAGAGACGCAGCTAGTTAGAGAGTCTCGCTGTCTGCACTCCTCCCTCCCCCCCCCTTTCCGCTTGCTCTCTTGTCCGCAAAACTAGAAAGGGATGAATCTCGGCTTCCAGAAGAGCTAAAGAGATGATTTCTAAACTAAATTTGTGGAAAATTTTGGGCGAATAAACAGAAAAATTATAAGATTTAAGCTTTCAGATGATCTAGAAAATTGCATCCAATTTTCAGTTTTCCAGGTCCGCAACGTGGTCATCAAGCGTGTCTCAAACATGTTCTACTGTGAGCAAACGCGTCCATTCGACTCGATCACCGAACTCATCACCTACTACACGAAACACACTGGTGCCTGCACATCGGCCACCTTTCAACTCAAAAATCCGATTCTCCTCCAACCATGGGAGTTTCATCATTCGGATGTGACCGTCGGAAAGGTTTTAGGAGAGGGTGCATTTGGAAAAGTGTGTTCTGGAACACTGAAACTCAAGGATGGGAGTGTCGTAGAGGTGGCGATTAAAATGACAAAAGTGTCGGCGTTTTTGAGTAAATTGAAGATTCGCGAAATGATGAATGAGGCAAGATTCATTCGAAATTTCAATCACAAGAACGTCGTCCGTTTGTACGGTGTTGCTCATGACGAACAGCCATTGTATATCCTTTTGGAACTGGTCAAAGGCGGCTCTCTACAGGATCATATGAAAAAGGCTAAAGCCAATGGGACTACTGTAACTATTGCCGAGAGAATCAAGTTTTGTGTTGGAGCTGAAAGAGGCATCGACTATCTTCACCAGAATCATTGTATTCATAGGCAAACAGTTTTTAGCTTCTTTTTTTTCAAAAACCAACTTTCTAGCTCATCTAGAACTCGAGATATAGCCATTTTGTATTTAAGCGACTAGAGAGTGTGAGGAAGGGAGAGAACGCAGCCAACGAGACACTCTAACTGCCTGCGTCACTCCAAACTTCAAATTGATGTTTCTCGAGTTCTAGATGAGCTAGAAAAGTAAAACCAATCTCATTCTACAGGATTTTCTATTTTTTTAAACTAATATTTGTGAATTTTAAGAATCTTATGAAAATTTAAATAAATTGATTAGCCTTTTTAATGCAAATTCCAATTTCCCACTTCAAACTACACATTTCTATCTAAAACCAGCTTTCTAGCTATTCTACAACTCGAGATACAAGCTGTTGACGTTTTGCAGGCGAGAGAGTGGAGAAAAGAAGGAGTGCGCGCAGACGAGGAGACTGTCTGCGCCCTCCTCTTTCCCCGCGCTCTCTCGCTTCTTGAAACTTCAATCGACTATATCTCGGGTCCCAGATAAGCTAGAAAGTTGGTTTTTTGACTGAAATGTGCAGTTTAAAGTGGAAAATTCGAATTTACATTAAACTTAAACGAAAAATTAAATTTTCCAGAGACATCGCCGCGCGCAACTGTTTGCTCCATGAGGACGTTGTCAAAATCACGGACTTTGGTCTTTCCCGTACTGGACCATGTTACAAATTAAGAACGACATGCAAACTGCCAGTGAAATGGTTGGCTCCGGAGACATTGTCCACGCTCACATTCACCTACGCAACCGATGTTTATAGGTACTACTGGAGCTCAATTATCTCGGCTCATATGAAAAATAACAAAATATTGTTAACTGATAAAAAACTTGTCATTTTATCAGCTACATTTTATTAGTTGACCACTTTTTGATATCTTTTATGGGAACCATGATAAATAAGATCAAACAGATTGAAGTCGCCGGGGAAGAAGGGTGTTTGGTTGCTTTGAGCCCAATTATCTTGGCTCCTATTAGAGATATTAAAATTTTGCCAATTGACAAAATGTTTGCCATGATTAAAACTACATTTTCTTACTTGACAAATTTTTGATATCTTTCATAGAAAACGAATAACGCGCAGCTCAGACGATCAGACGGTGCCAGCAGACATGTCTACCTTGCGCTCAATTATCTCGGCCCCTGTAACAGATATCAAAAAATTGTCAACTGATAAAATGTGTCATGATATCGGGTACATTTTTTTAGTTGACAATTTTTTGATATCTTTTAAAAGAACCGAGATAATTAAATTTAAAGTAGCGACAAGTTCAAGCGAAGTTCAAGCGAGGTTCAAATTCAATATTTTTAATTTTTCAAAAAACAAAAATATGGCATAATTTTTCAGCTGGGGCATCACATGCTACGAAGTCTTTGCCGATGGTGCAGAACCATTCGAAAGCATTTCGAATGCTGTTGTAAAGGCGGATGTCCTGAGTTCGAAATTCCTTCAAATGCCTTCAAACACTCCAGAAGCCATCAAAAAGTACCTCAACCACTTCATTTTTGTCGAAGCTGCTCGCCGAGCCAGTATGTCGATGGCCGTTGGAGAGTTTGATCGAATGGCGGTGATGAGTGAGAATGGAACGCTGGAAGGGGGCGGAGCCAAACAGAAATTGCTGAAAGTTTTCAAGAAGCGACATGAAAAGCAGTCGAAGGGAGAGTAGTGAACTCTGTGTGAACTATGATTATGGAATTATGAAGCTTTGAATTTTTGAATGTTTTTTTAACTTTCCAGGAAGACATACAGAAGTTTAGTATCCCAGAATCTCAGAATCTTAGAATCTTAGAAGCTCAGAATCTCAGAATCTCAGAATCTCAGAATCCCAGAGTCTCAGAATCTCAGAATCTCAGAATCTCAGAATCTCAGAATCTCAGAATCTCAGAATCCCAGAGTCTCAGAATCTCAGAATTTCGGAATTTCAGAATCTCAGAATCTCTGAATTTCGGAATTTCAGAATCTCAGAATCTCAGAGTCTCAGAATCTCAGAATCTCAGAATCTCAGAATTTCAGAATCTCAGAATTCAGAATCTCAGAATCTCAGAATTTCGGAATTTCAGAATCTCAGGATCTCAGAGTCTCAGAATATCAGAATCTAAGAATCTCAGAATCTCAGAATCGCAGAATCCCAGAGTCTGAGAATCTCAGAATTTCGGAATTTCAGAATCTCAGGATCTCAGAATCTCAGAATATCAAAATCTCAGAATCTCAGAATCTCAGAATCTCAGAATCCCAGAGTCTCAGAATCTCAGAATCTCAGAATTTCGGAATTTCAGAATCTCAGGATCTCAGAGTCTCAGAATATCAGAATCTAAGAATCTCAGAATCTCAGAATCTCAGTATCCCAGAGTCTGAGAATCTCAGTATTTCGGAATTTCAGAATCTCAGGATCTCAGAATCTCAGAATATCAAAATCTTGGAATCTCAGAATTTCTGAATTTCAGAATCTTGAATCTTAGAACCTTAGAATCTCAGAATCTCAGAATCTCGAAAAAAAATGTTGGTCGAAAAAAAATCACATAAGGGTCCCCCTTATGTGTTTTTGAAATTTTCAAAACTAGTGAAATGACGGGCCCGGCCCGTTACAAGTATGAGAATCTTGGAATCTCAGAATCTCAGAAACTCAAAAAACTTTCAGATGAAAAAAGAAAAAAAAAGGTTTATAGTCTCATGACAGAAGCAGAACTCGAGACATTTACAATCTTATTATCATTTGGTTTTTTACAAAAAATCATCGAAACTAAAAAATTTCTATAAGGAAAATGAACGAAAAGAATACAGAAACTAGCGATTCCCTTATGTAAAATCACTGGCAAATAGGTCAAATTATTTTTCGCCTGATCAAATTCCTCTTGTTTTGTATAATCAGTTAATGAAATCATTGGAATCAAAAGCATAGAAATCGGAATAGTAATTTGAAGAAATATGCCAAAAAGTGAGCGAATTTGAAGACGTCGGGTTTCAGAAGACACTTGGGATGATTTCGAATGAAAGAGATAGTAGAGACAGCAGACGGCGAAGAAGAAATTTTGAAAAAGAAGAACTCCATTTATGAATAAATTCATTGCACTTGTGTAGAGTTTCCAGAAGCCTTCCAAAGGGTAAACCATGATATTTTCGGTGAAAAAGTATTCTGGGGGACAGGGGAATGTCTGAAAATTAATAATTTTGAGAGTTTGGAAGTTTTCAGAAAACTTCAGTCTTGAAATCTTTACTGGTTTTTAGGATCTGAATCTGAATCTGTCTGAAAACTCGAGAAAATTAAAACTTTCTAATTTCGAATTTTCGGTGACGTTAGAAATTCAGAAACTCAGAAAACTTTGAAAAATGTCTTTAATTTTCGAATTTCCAAAATTCGGATATTTTGAAATTTGTTATTTCCGAATATTCGAATTTCCAATGTGCTGAATTTCTCAATTTCTGAATGTCGGATATTCAGTATCTATATTTTCTAATTGCGAGTTTTCAACTTTTGCAATTCCCGTAGTTTCTCGGATTTCTGGAGTTTTGTATTTTCGAATTTTCGAATTTCTAACTTTTCGGAATTTTGATATTCGAAATTTTGTTTATCGACTTTTTTCCAATAAATTTGAAATCTCAGTATTTCAGAAAAATGCGAATTCTGAATTTCGGAATTTACGAAATTCGACTTTTCAAAATTTCTGAACTTTAAAAACGTTGAACTTTGAGTTTTCTAGTTTTCTGATCTTTCAAATTTTGTGAACTTTCTGATATTCTGAACTTTGTGATTTTCAGAAATTCTGATCTTTCAAAATTTTTTATTATCTTTCCGGTTCAATTTTTTGGAAAATTCGGAATATCAAAACTTTATTTTGAATTTTCTGAATTTCTGAAATTCAAAAACTCAAAATTTTAGGAATTCGGAATTTCAGAATTCCCGAATATCTACTCACCTTCAACAAAACCATCCTCGCGTCATCTGGATTCGGGAAATTCAAAAAAATGGGGACCATCAATGCCATACATCCAAAAATATTGAGAAACAACCATAAATTCCTAGTTGAATTATTTTGAAATCGAAAAATATTATTGACAATTAAAGTGCTTCGATTTTCAAAAAGTATCAGAAATGACATGACCATAGCTGCAAATTTCAGATTTAAAAAGTATTATCTGGCGAAAATTTTCCCGTAAAACCTGTAATAAAAGGGCACTCACACTGTAAAGTTTGAGCTAGCAAACTTTTCTTTGCTCCCATGCTAGCTCAATTATCTCGGTTCTTTTGAGAGATATCAAAAATTGGTCAACTGATAAAAAATTGCTGATAATATGATAAATAATTTATCAGTTGACAACTTTTTACTATCTTTGACAGGAACCGAGATATGTGAGCTCAAAGCTAAGAGTGAGGGGGCCCTTCTATTACAGGTTGTCAAAAAGCCCACCAAAACTAGTCGCAGTTTGTAAAAAACATTGAAATGCATTGGAAATTCCCACTGAACTTAGAATTCCATCAAAAAATCCAGCCATAACCGGATAAAAAAAGTAAGGAGTCGAGAAAAATGAATAGTAAATTCCACAAATTGTATACCAGAAATTCAAATTTAGCAGACTCGATTTTACCGATTCCATGCTTTTTGGCGTTTTTTTGAGAATACAGAAAAATGCGAAAAGTTGAAATGGTAGACTAATTAGTGTAATTAAGCGGCAAATGTCAACGAAACTTTCTTTGGATTCCAAAAATTTCAGCGGTTTTCTAGAAGCATTTTCACATAAAATTGGGTAAATATTGATAAAATAATCAGTTAGATTTTGAGACATTCTTGATAAAATTGTTTTGAAAAAATAAATTTTTGAAAAAGAATATTCTAGAATATGATATGGTCAGCTGACCGGAAGTACATCGGAAGACATATGTCTAGCCAAGTGAGAAAAAAATTAATTAATTTTTTGAACCGAGAAAAGTTTTTTGACTAGTTTTGGACCGGAAAAAATGATGAGCAATAAAAAAAATCTATTTTTGAAGTTGTTGTTTGAAGTCGTTGTTTCTGACTTCATCCTCGATCTCGATCCACCAAGTGATTCCTATCGTGAAACTCGACGAGAAAAGAATTCAAAAGTGAGAGGACCAGTGGATTTTTGCGATTTGAATGCACCAAAAAACGAGCATTTTTCTCTGGAGCCATTTGATTCAAAGAAATATAAGAAGCTTCCCGAAACTATCAAAATTCTTCTTCCATTGGTATTGAAAGTTCCTGAAAAAAAGGAAATAAAAATTCCGGACACTTCTAGAGATGCAACGAAAAATCAGGAAAAGAGAATGAAGAAAAAGAACAAGTGCACCATTTTGTGAACTTTTTAAATCAATGTTTTATTCGAAAAATAAAAATGTTTTATACAATTTTTCAAATCCCAATAATTTATTCCATCTAATGAAAAAATCACAAGTAATGAGGATACCCAACTTTTCAGATCATGTACGAATATGAGCAATCTCGCACACCCTTGATATTTGGAAGTTTCTGGTGTCCGTTATCACGATATACGTCGTCCTGAAAAAAATACAAAATTTTAGGCTTTCTGTAGCAAAAAACGCGTCAAGGCACTAAAAATGCGCAAAGCTTGACACAACTTCCGTTTCCGGCGTGTTTCCTGTTCTTCACTGTAATTTTGGTTTTAAAAATTGCATCAAGACGCGAGAAATGCGTCAAGCCACAAAAATTGCGTCAAGCCACAAAAATTGCGTCAAGACGCGAAAAACGTGTCAAGGAACGGAAAATGCGTAAAGCTTCGAAATTATTGGTTTTTAGCATCTAAACGT